TTTTTCCTTTTCCTTGTTTTTCTTTTTTTTTTGTTTTCGTTTTCTTTTTTTTNTTTTTTTTTTAAATATTCTGTTTTTCTAGTTAATTTACATAATCCCGATTCGGCTACGCGCGCGCGCGCTTATTTAGCGATCGTTTTGTGTCTCTTTTATACGTAACATATGCGTGTATATGTAATTAATGTATGTATGTATGATGTTTGTTCCGGTGACTATTTTTTTTCTCTCTTTTTCTTTTCTTTTTTTTTTTTTTTCTTTTTTTTGCTTTATCTAAGCGTGGGATTTCGAAATGACGTTTCGTTCGTTCGTTCGTTCGTTCGTTTCTACACTTTTTTTTTTTCCACCCCTTCTTCTTTCATTTGTACGTCGTGTATACGTGCGACTGTCGATAAATCGAATCGATCGATGGATCTTTTCCATCATTATGGCTCGACGAATGACGAGTTACGACGTATAAACAATATGTACGTTTTCTTTTTTTTTTTTTTTTTTTGAATGATAGTAACAACGGTACTAGCAATGTTTTAATTTAATAAAACGTTTCAGTATTCGTAGCGTTAGTAAAAGTATTAATAATAATAATAGCTATCCGTAATAGTAATCGTAGTAATAATAGTTGTAGTTAGTAGTTAGTTAGTAATAGCAGCGGTAGTAGTAGTAGTAGTAGTAGTAGTAGTAGTAGTAGTAGTAGTAGTAGTAGTAGTAGTAGTAATAGTAATAGTAGTAAGTAACAGTAAGTAATAGTAAGTAGTAGTAGCAGTAGCGGTAATAATAGTAATAGCAGTAGTAGTAGTAACAGTAGTAGCAGCAATAGTAGTAGTAGTAACAGTAGTAGTAATAGTAATAGTAATAGTGATAGTAAGTAGTGGTGATAGTAGTAGTAATAGTGATAGTGATAGTTGTAGTAGCGATAGCAATAGTAGCAGCGACAGAAGAGGTGGCGGTGTTTTTTTTGGTGATGTCAATAGTATTTAGTAACAATGGTAGTAATAGTAATTGCAGTAGTAAATAGTAATAATAGTAGTACAGTAGCATCGATGGCGGTAGTAAATTGTAACAGTAATAGTAATAGCGATAATAGTGATAGTATTAGTAAGTAACAGTAGTAGCCGTAATAGTTACAGTAATAATAACAGTGGAATAGTTTTCCTCTCACGTAGGTGGTGATACAGTAGTAGCAGTGATGGTAATAGTGATTTGTTTCTTTTTTTCTTCCAAGTCAAAATTATGCGATTAATTTACACGTGCTCGTTTCCCTTTTTCAGATTCTCTCTCCATTATTGCTTCCTTCTTATTCGTCTTCTCTTCGTTCTTCTCATTTTTTTCATTCTCATTCTCATTTTTTCCTTCTCTCTATCTCTTTCTATCTTTCCTTCGTTTTCGCTTATTGGCACGAGCTGCGAGAATACGGAACAACGACACCGCTATTGCTGCTCGAATTCGACGTTGGTCGAAATCCTTCCTTTTTTTTCTTTTCCTTTTCTCGCGGGCAAAGTCGTTCGCTGGATGTGTGTGTTTTCTCCGTTATTTTAAGCGTTTCTCAACGGAGGGATCGATGGATCGCGACGAAGCAGCCAGTGTAGAAGAGTCGCGAATACTTTTCTTACGGTAGAAGTAGAAGAGAATCGAAATGATCTTGACGATTTAGTAAAAATTCCTACGTATTTAGTTCGATGTATCGTTTAGCACGTTTATCTTCGAGTATCCTTTTTTTTTCTTTTTTTTTTTTACTATATCATTTTAATAAAGTTACCCCTCTCTATCTGCGGAGACGACCGATTATTTGAATTAATTTAATAATACGGTATTTTTCTCCCTCATTGTTCGATACCTTTTTTTTTTCCTTCTTTTTCCTTTTTTTTTTTTTTTTAATTAGGGTGAACGTGTTCGTTTTTCATTTTTTTTTTCTTTTTCTCTAACGGCTTGTCGGCTGGTCGTGAAGATTTTTTCTTTTTTCTTTTTCTTTTTTTTTTCCCCGCAAAAGAAAACTCTAAAGAGAGAGAAAAAGTTTTTGCGCACCGGCGCAAAAACCGCGACTACCAAAATCATCAGAGAGGATCATTTGTTTTTTTCGTTGCGTAGCCGCAATTCTTGTCGCAATTTCCTCGCAATTCGATTTCGTTTACACGAAGTAGAAAAAACGGAGCTTGAAGAAATTTCGATAAGTTCGATCGAGAGACTTTTCCCCCTCTACTCGTTCGGTTAAATCGAACGCTACTGCAACGATATATATATATACATATATATATATATACATATATATGTATACACACACACATATATATATATTATTTTCTGATCGAGATTGGACGAAAACTCCGTGCGAACAGTGACGAATAAAAGAATCATTGTGGTATCGCATCGAACGTATCGAAACGGTGCCCTTTTTTTCTCCCCCCCTCATTACTGACAATATTATCATTATTATTATTATTATTACTATAATTATTATTATTATAATATTATTAGTATTATCATTATCATTATCATTATTATTATTATTATTATTATTATAATACATCATTTGTCCAAATTTCGCACGAAACGTTTTATTCGTCGTAGAGAAAATTCATATATATATATATATTTTTTTTCCTCCAGTCTCGACGAGATAATATGCTTCCTCGACGAATCGAGAGTTCGAGTTGGCGCATACTTGCACGTAGAAATCGAGAGGATCGTCCCGAAAGGAGATGAACGTTTCGTTGGCAAAACTTGGGATTATGGCGGTTTATTATATGCGACGCCATAAGACGGCGAAAGGCGAAGGTGCCGCTTCGAGCAGAGAGGGCGCTGCCGAGTTAAGCCCAAACCGAATTCCCCTAGAAGTGTTCGTAGATATCGAGCTGTGAAAAAAATTTGTGATAGATTCGCGCGGAGAGGGATCCGAAGCGAGCGCCCCGTTCGAGAGCGATTGTTTTTTTCCCCCGTTTGTTTAATTAATTCATCGTATAAAAATGGTGGATCCTCCTCCTTCTCCTCCTCCTCCTCCTCCTCCTCCTCCTCGGCTCGGTCCGTCGATTAAAAAGCACAGCGAAGAAAGCTTCGAAGTTCAAGAGACGAAAGAAAATTGTTCGGGAAAGTTCCGAAGTATGTACAATGTTCGACGACACTTGGACTTTTTTCGTTTTATATATATATATATATACCGCGATCTCATTTTTCTTTTCTTTTTTTTTTCCCCTCTCTCTGTTCGCTCGTTTTGCGCGTTTAAATCATCGCGTTTACGTGGCACACAACGGTAAGTCTGGTTTTTCGATGGTGACCACCGTGACGACGACTGTTCGTTTATCTTTTTTCTTTTTATTATATATATTATATATATATATATATATATATATATATATATTGTATATGTACATACGTATATACATATACATATATATATATATACGGATTGTTGCTTTGTTGTCCCTGTAACGATCATCCGATGTTTGCTTTCGTTTCAATCGCGAAATATCTCTTTGTGAATCCTTTTCCTGTCCCGTTTCTCCCCCATTTCGAGAAAGAACTCTAGCGGTTCGAACTAACCGAACCTCGAACGCTCTTCCCTTCTTTTCTTCGAGAGGTGTTCCCGCCTTCCCATCATTTCTTCCCATCTTCGACATCGTGGATAACTTTCTCTCTCTTCGTTGCCGCGTAACACCTCCTTTCCCGTCCCACTTGCGGACATCTCACAGACGTAGTCTCCCCGAGTACCAAGCCGGTCGAGTCGCACTTGCGTTTTCACGGTTTAATAATTGACGCGCCTCCCAACGTGGAAGATTCACGCGCAAACCCTAAGACGCCTGGGGGCGTCCACGTCACCGGACCACCGTCCAGGGTCCCACTTTGGCTAGCACCAGTCGTCTTCGTCGCTGTCCGAGTGTCTCGACCTGTCCACGATTCAATATCAATCAAACGATAATTAAACAGAATCGATCGACAACACGAGATACGAACCTGGGTGTCCTCTGCTTGGCCTGAGGCTGCGGTTTGTAGCCGTTGGGCACAGGGCTGGGCAAGAGGCGGCCACCTCGGCCCATCGCCACCGCTTGCTCGAAGCTTAGGGGGCAGTGGCTCGGTTGCATGGGAGGCAGATGCTGGCCGGGTGGCGGATGCTGCATACCGGCCGGGATCGGCACGTGTATGTGCGAGCCGTGGGTAGGCGAGGCGTTCAACTTCGGGAAATTGATGTTGGCCGGTTTGAGCTGCAGTGTCGAGGGTTTGTTGGGGGTTGGGGGCAATCGACGGCCACGCCCACGCCTCGTCACCAGCACCGGGTAACTGTGCTGATGGGGATGATGCCGATGATAATGCTGGTGCGTGTGGGGTGGCTGGCGGCCACCGATCGGGCTTGGACTCCTCGATCGTTGCTCCAAACTGGTCGTCCCGTAATGCCGGCCACGCTCGATGTGGTGTATCGGGCTCGGCGTCCTCGCCGGGCTGGTCGAAGCGCTCCACGGACCTGGCGAACGTATTCGTTAGCGTTTCCAACCTTTGCAACGCGTATTTTCTAACTGTCCTAGCGTGTTTCGTTTTCGAAGGTGGAGCGATGGATTCGAATTCGCTATTCAACAAGGAACGGTACGTAGAGGGAAGAGAGAGGAAGCTTGTAACTCGAACTGCTTTATTCGCGTGATTAAATTAATTTGGGATTTAAATTACAGGTTTTTAATTACAGGGATATATCGTGTTGTGGCGTTGGTGTTGATTGAAGAGATCTCGAGGGGGAAAGGCTGTGAGTGCCGATAATTGAAAATTTTGTTGGGAAGATGGACGTTTAGATGGACAGGAAGGAAATGTTTGTAAAATAAGATTATGTTTCTGCTAATGGATTCTACTTGACAGGGTAAAGAAGAAGTTTAACAAAAATTGGCACTTACAGCATTTTGAAAATGAACGGTATAAATTTAGATTAATAAGAAAGTTAAGTTTTGAGATATGATTAACAAAAATGAGGTAATTTTTTTTTGGAAATTTGGTGGCGTTCTTTGAAAGAACTCTTCAATTTTTTTGCAAGGACGGTAAGAGGGATTCGACAATTCTGATTTTCTAATCCGATTGCATCGACCAACATGCCGCATGCTAATTTCTCTACCTATATACTATAATGATTCTAGGGACTGCGTCGTGCAGACTTGTTTATCGAGTAATAAGTGTTAGCATTTAACATAAAATATTACTTTTTTTTATATATTTAAATAAAATAAAATAAGAATTATTATGCTTTGTTTCCGATTTTTAACATAAAAAACTACCAAGATATTCATCAAATTTTTCAAAACGTAGGAAAGTGTGTTAAAAAAGTTACTTAAAAGACACACTGATAACTGATAATGGCCTATGAAGGCAGTGAAAAATTACAGAAATCAGACAAACTTATTACTCGATCCGATAAATAATACAACCAGTGAATTTCTATCGTAATACCGAAACTTGGATGCTAATCCATCCTCTACGTGTAGGTGCTCGTATCCAGTGTGCAAGAGTGCTCGATATCGAAAGCCTGTGTATCTATATCTCGTGCAATGTCCAATGAGCAAATCAGAAAGATCGCGGGAAGATGATTAAGAAATGATCTATGTATCTGAAGAAGAAAATAATAAGACGAAAGAGAAATCGAGAAAGTTTCCTTACTTAACAATTATCGATCTTCGATCAACGATCAAGATTAAAAACATTCTCGACATCCTCGTCAATCCTCGAGTGTCTGTTTTTTTTTTTCTTGTGTATGTCAGTATATCTGTTTGTTTCGTGTCGATGGGTGGAGAAAATGTGAAAGCCAAAAAAAAAAAAAAAAAAAACGAACAGTAGTAATTGAAAGTACAACGAATTTGCAATAATAATAATAATAATAATAACGATAAATGGTAATAATAATAATAATATCAAATGACGATGATCATGATAAAAATGATGATGATAAAAATTGCTTCGGAAACAGGGAATGAAACGGAGTTGCGAAAGAAATTACCATCGTCGTAATAGTCGCAGTGGTCGTAATAGTCTTTGTAGGCGCATAACAGAACAAAACGAAGAAACATATTACATCGAGTGAACACAGAGCTTCTGCCTCTTGCGAGTAAAAAACCATTTATAGCGACATTCATATATATATATATATATTTTTTCTTTTTTCTTTTCTTTTTTTTTCTTTTTTTTTTTTTTTTCTTAAATCGTAACTACGAATCTCTCGTCCAATTATCGAACGCATCGATTTCAATTTCGTAAGGATTCATTCTCAAATACATTTGACATCATTAGAAGACGAGAAAAACGATATAGAATAAAATACGAGACGAAGGAAAAATGCGTGTCGCGGAAGAGATTCGTAGGTTGGATTTCGTAAAAAGGACTTATCGTTGCACCGTGTTTTCTTCGACGAAATTATCATTGCTGTCTTGTACCTCGCATCCTGTGCCGATGATTGTACTGTGACGGATGGGGATGATGCGTGTGTCTCTGAATCTCGACGACGTTGCTAACCGTATCGCTAAACCCTGGTCCTTCGTGGTAATAATGACCGTGATGATCGTATCCGGGTCGCCCTGGCGAGTGCCTCCTGAAAAATGCATAACGCGCGTTTTTCAATACGAATCACCGTTCCTTTTTTTTTTTTCCTCTTCTTTTACGCCACGACTCGCATCGGACACCGTGTATATAAGAGAGTCTTATTACTTTCCTCTCCTCGCTCTTCGAACGAGAAAAGAATCTGGAACCGGACGTACCTTAGACTCGGCGAGCGCGATGGATGTCTAACTGGCTGCACAGGTGGATGAAGCCTTTTGCCGGCGTGGGTGAGGCTCTCGAGGCTACCGGCACGGGAGTCGCTAACCACGACGTCCTGAAGCTCCATCTAAACGAACATACTCGCCGATTAGGGGATCTCGTTCCGTTCTCGCGCTTTGTCGGGAGATTGTTTTTCTTTTTTTTTTTTTTTATAAGGAGAGTTGGGGGTGTCGCCGGTTCTCTTTGCCTTCGGTTGTTAATAAAATTGAAAATGAAAACGCATTGTCCGCGCCTCGAACAAACAAACTTTCTCGAGACGCCTTTTGCCTCCGGAATTTCCGCGCGAGCTTCGATATTTCGACGAATCCGTCGACGCGCGGAAATTCCTCTCAAGTTCGATTCTTTTTTTTTTTCTTTTCATTCAAGTCATCAAGAAACATAAGACAAGACAATTCTCTCGAAGATGAGAAGAAGAACAGTGGATGAGTGAGTAGGAGCAGAGAAGTCGATATACAGGCACATGTATAATATATAATATATATATATATACGCGCGTGTAAGAAGCATGCAAGTAAGAGTTTCTCTTTTCTTTTTTTTTTTTTTCTTTTTTCGAGCATGCACATGCTTTGCCTGAGTGTGAGTTCAGTTTTCTTTTTTCTTTTTTTTTTTCTTTTTTTTTTTTTTTTGTTTTGGAGCGGTGAGAGAAGAAGAGAGAAACGTGTGTGCGTGTATGCGTGTACGTGTATAAACTACTACAGTTTCAGACGAGTTTCAATGGACTCGTTTCAAGAGGTTGTGTTTCTTACTTACCGGGACACGGGTGATACATGGAATTAATAATACAAAACAACGAGACGCATAGGAGGAGAACGAGGCAATCGATGATGATCGACGCTCACGAGTGCTTCGTTACTCTCACGAGTGTAATAATAATCTCAAGGCTGAAAGCAGCTAGGGACAAGGGTGGGGTTTCTCTAAAAAAACGTTCACGTTATTATTATTATTTCTTTTTTTCTTTCGTTCTTTTCTTAGCTAAAAATAATAATTCACGCTTCGCGTTCTCTCGTATTTACATTGTGCGCTAAGATTAACGGCGTTCAAGATCGATTCTATTACGATTCGTATTTCGAGATCGTTGAGGAGGTTGGTGGAGGTTTTGAGCGTGTGTCGTGAAGACACACGCGCGATCGATACACCCATGTTTCTGAATCGAAAATATATAAAATTTTAAACACGTTGATTGGAATAATTAAATATATATATAGGTTCTCAGTTTCAGATTCATTGCTGAGTAAGAATAAATGGTACATTCTCCCTTTTATATCCAAAAAAGAAAAAACAATCGTGATTGCAAAAGAAAATCGTATTTTGCAAATAATTTAAATATTCGGATATTTTAAACAACACGAAACACGGGTAATATCGGGTGCATTTCAGATATAGATACAGTGGGGGGATCCTCTAGATACGTGATGGCAGGTATGATCTCTAATATATATGAACACAGTGGATTCGTTGATCGTAAATCGATCTTGATCTTTGCTTGATCTTTTGCACGCCACGAAACCCAAAAATACGTACGAAATCCCGCGAATCAAAACAGCGTTTTCTCAATCTAAGCCCGCGAGATCTATCTACGTTCTAATTGACTAACATCTATCCCGATCTAAATATGTGTTTTTCTCGACTCCGTTTACAAGGTATTTATCTTGTCTTGTCGAGCTAAAAGCTAAAGGTGCTGTTGCTTCTTTGTCTAATATGTAATATGAGAGACAGAGAGAGAGAGAGAGAGAGAGAGACATCGTGTGTTCTGCGACACTTGTCGAAAACTAATTCCGCGACAGATGATATATCTCGCCCGGTAATTATAACAATTTCGAGGGGATCATGGATCGGACGATCTTGATAGAATATCGCGAGAGTCATCATTCTAATTTAATCTTCGTAAGAGTTAATTCATCGATCGTTAGAGAATTATTAACAAAACAAGGATCTGAAAGTTTCATTCGGTTTCTATCTGGAAATCACTTCGAATTTATTATCGTCGATTTGTTGTTGATTATTATTATTATCGATAGAGATATTAAGGTATAATGCATACTCTCAATAATTGTAACAACAGAAAGGAAAGTTATTATATAATCGATTTACACATTCCAATCTTTCAAAGATCAATAGAACAACCTCCGCAACGTGTACCAGTCAAGATCGAAATCACCGTAATCCCTCAAATCGTATAATTACCCCCTCCCCGCTTTAACGATATCTAAGTATCTAAGAAAGCGTGAAATTCACACACATTTAAAATCTATGTAATAATTCCTCTTATACGATCGTAATCTAATAATGGCAATAGCACGAAGACCGAAGCGAAATGTCCTCGATCTACCGCGATCTAGACACGTGACTCGAGGATTCGGTCTGTGAAATCTTCTTGCTCGTTCGAGTAATTGATCGTCGATTGCACAAAGAGCAAAAATGAGAATGACGATAAAAAATCCAATCCAAGTACAATAAAAATATTCGTTTCTCTATCGCAACCGATCGAGGGGTGGAAAAAAAAAAAAAGAAACTTTAAAAAATTCGAAAATCGTGGAGGATTTTTTTTAATTGAATCGAGCCGAGAGACCTTGTGGTAACGGATCGAGGAGCGAGGTGCGTAGGTATTCTGGTGTTGATAGTACGAGGGTGGTCGGTGAGCATGATGATGATGGTGATGGTGATGGTGGTGGTGGTGGTGGTGATGGTCATAGTATAGATCATTGTCGGTATCGTAGTATTGGTCGTGATGGTGATGGTGGTAGTAGTAGTTTTGATCCTGCTGGGAGGGCACCTCAGCCAGCAATGGCTCTAGCTCGGGGGCGCGATCCTCATCATTAACTACGGGTACAACCCCAGACCCACCCCCTCCCTGGCTACTCTCTCCGCTGCTGCCTAGTATATCGTACTGGTGGGACATCTTCCAGTTCACCTTTTTATTCTGCAAAAAATCCAAGACAAAAGGGAAAGAGGAATGTCGTTACAATGCAAAATATAAACGGACATGGATAGCGTAATACGTTTCAAAAATATATTCAACTCTCTATATATGTATTATAACGATCGTGCGATTTGTTATTCTAGTTTCTCTATATTGTTCATTTATATTACTTTATATTTTGAGTTTGGTTCTCATTAGATTTCCTTTTCTATCCATTTCTACGACTTGCTATTTTATTGTTTTCTATACTTGTATATACAATTTTAAATTAATAAAAGATAAATTCCTGTTTGAGATACGTGATATTACATTTTTGAAACGCGTTTATTGTGTATAAAACTAAAACGGAAACGGAATACCTGATGCTACGTTGACGTCTATGCTCGTCGTCTTCCTCCCTGTGCTCCTTGTGCTGATCGAGCTTCGTTTCCGGGGTTGGCCGTACCACGTGTTCGAGGCTGTTCGCCCTACTTCTGGCCCCGTGATTATTTCCGGTATGATTTACCGCCGTCACGTCCAGTATGCAGTTGAGGAAGGCTTGCTAAAGTCGAACGTGCGAAACCACACCGACTATCAGAGCTATTTCTTTTTTTTTATTTTTTATTTTTTTACGAATGTACTTTATTCATTTACTTAATTTTCGTTCTTTATCTCTCGATTCCAAAGAGCCAAATATTTTTTTTAGTTACAGGTATGTACAGGCACATACAGGCTTTCTTTCGTTCTCCTTCGATTTATCTTCTTTCTTTCTCTTGCGTGCTTCTCTTTCGAGTTAGAAGGGAAAAGTATGATTATAAAGAGTTAGAGCACGGAGTTGTTGTTGTTGTGTTATAGCGATAAAAAACGGCGAGAGAGAAATTTTGTTCAAGAAAAAAAAAAAGAAAAAAAGAGAGAGAGAGAGAGAGAGGCCATGCTAGAATTTGGCTGGAAAGAGTGATAATCATGTGACGTAATGCACTTGAGTGTTGCACAAAAAAATATTCTTTAATATTTTATCTCCGTTATCGGAGAAAAATTTTCTTTCTTTTTGAAAAATGCGTGTGCAAGAATCGAAAAAATTAGTAATAAAAGTGGTTATATATATATATATATAGCAAATTGTAATTTTGTGCCTGTGGATCACTTTGACAAAGCCTGTATATGTTTCAAAAAGCTATATTATATTCTTACGTACGTAAATGTAAATTAATTATCTTATTTTTGTAAAGTGTTTATAAATGAGCATATAAAGAGGTACAAAATAAAGGATTAATCGTTTGATTAATCGTCACGTTTACACTGTAGAAATGCAAATGTTAAGTAAGCATGCAACACAACGTACAAATCGTCAATGTTTTTTTCGTGATTAAAAAACAACAATATTATATCATCTTTATGAAATCTGAAAAAAGGAAATATCGAATCGTTCGTTGTTATTATTAATAATGGAACGTCGACGATTTGCAAATATTTTCTCTAAAAGATTTACTAAAAGATACATATACATATGCGAACAAATGGTGGAGACAAAGACTGTACACAAGCCAATCACAGCGAACAAACGTGACGTTTTTTTTTTTTTTTTTTTTTTATTCTAAATCTAATATCATTCGATAATCGTATATATACACACACACATATATAAATGGTGTAATAGTACTGTAACTCGAGTTGTCGACTACATGCCTACGTACGGCACATTTGGCTACTGTTTTATCTACTCACAATTAATCTCGATTAAATACGATTATTTATTAATTAATTCTCAATACGTTACGATAAAGTTACCCCAAAGGGTATTTATTTAGAATATCGGCGCCATCCTTAAATTAGATAACCTTATAAATAAGGTTTCGATTTAAGCAGACTTGAAATGTTTCATCAAACTGATGATGAATATTTATAATTGTTGCTTGGTTTATTCAGATTGTAGTTATTTGATAAGAATAAAAATAAATTCACATCGTCGCGATAATTTTACATATGAAATGACCGAATGTTAAAAATTTTATCAATAATCTGATCATGTTTCAACAATCTAATATATTTATACAAAAGTTTAAAATTACAAAAATAATAAAGGATTGAAAGAGATTTTTCAATTTTTCTCACTTCTCAAAGAGATTAGTTAAAAAATACTTTATACCCATAACTATAGAGATGTAAATTATCAAGCATACGAGATAAATGGCACCATCATTCTAAATAAATATCTTGGAAAATATCGAAATATACTTGTCTACAAAATGGATACTTTAAATATGGAGAAAAGCGCTTCCTCGAGGAAGCGTCTTTTCTTTCGATCGACAACAGACGACATTTGCCATCATCGTGTCGCGATAATCTGACGAATGGTCGTCGTTGGATCGATGATAAACATTTGGTTGTTCACAGCATCGTTCGTTTCGACAAAAAAAAGAAAAGGCCGTCACCGAATCTTTCGTGGAAACACTTGAATAATTTAATCTACTTAAAAATAGTGTCGGTAATTGTCATGTTGTTGTCTGCGTGTCGAAGAGTAATCCTCGTGTAAATTATTTTTGTATATTCTTGTTGTATTACGTAGTATTGTGGAAAATAAGCTATTGTGGAGGAAAACTAGCAAGGCAACGATTCTACGGTAATCAATGTAATAGATTTTCTAATTTATATGCTACGCTGCTGGTTGTCAGAAAGAGAGAGAGAGAGAGAAAGAGTGACAAATGGACAAGAAAGAAAAAGGTACAAAATATGGACAAAAATCTTATGGAGTGTTTTTTGTTTTTCTATATTGGAAACACTGCAGCAATTTTTCTCCATTGGATTACGTATCTGATAGATCTTATTTATTATTTTTATGATCATATTAATTGCAGTTCAGATGTAGAAATAGTTTTTTTTCGATCACTGTTGATACAAGTGATCGAAAAAAAAACCGTTCTTTCATTACTCAATTTAAACGTGAAATTGTGAATATTGTTTCAAAAAGTTTCAAAAAGAATGAACAATTTTAACTTCAGCTTTCAATGACTCGTTATTCACGTTAAAAACACATTTGCAAAATCAAAGAAACAGATAACAAATAACACAATCGCTGCGGTGTTGTTGCCAACACAAAAAAGAATAACACAAAGAAACATTCTACCTTTTCTCGTCCACAAATTACTGCGATGCATCTAACTGGAGGATGCTAATAAATCTAACTCGAGGAACTTACTGCATTAATAAAGTATCGTTCTCGAAAGTGAGTTCCTCGATTTCTCTACTACTATCGTACCAAAAAAAAAAAGAGCCACTATATAGGGGAGAGAAGTAGATAAGTGGTGAGAAATGAAAAATTTACAAACAGTTTAGCAACAAAGTGTATACGAAAAGAAAGAAAAAAGGATAATTTCTAAGATCGATTATACGTTTTTGGATTACTAACGATCAAAATACATATCTGGGACTAAACTATCGCCTAATATTATTATCAATTCGAGACTATAACTATAATTGGTGACTAATGCGACCTAAATTAAAATGGAATGATACTCGAGGCAAAAGGCGAGCTATGTTCGAGGATTCAGATGTATATATATATATATAGATATATATATTCGGTACTTATATTCATTCTAACAGGAGGAGTTCGACGTACTGGGTAATTTACTTACACACAGCTATATCGTGTTCTCGGGGGCAAAGAGCCGATATTCACGTGGGAACACGTGCGACAACGATCACCCACGTGACATCGACACGCAACCACCACTAAAAAAACTCAAAACGTTAGAATCTTACGCATCGTGTAGTTCAGCAATTTTTCTTCCCTTTTTACGATCAGTTTTTTTCTTTTTCTTTTAAATATAAAATTATTTATAAAATTATGACAATGCATAAAATTGAAACGTGTTCTTTTTTTTTTTTTGTTTAACTAGATTCAAATAATTAATCCTAAGACTAAGTTGCTTATTATTTGAAGAGGAAACGTGCCATTAAGAGAAAGGAGATTCTTTTAAAGGAAAGTTTCTAAAAGTTTTCTAAAATATAGTTTTCTAAAGTAGTAGTGTGAAATTCGACAGATGCTCTAATTAATTACTTCCACTAATTATCAAGTGCCTAAGAAAGAGAAGAAGAAAAAAAAGTACGCGTGTGTGATTTTTCTGTGTTCGCAACGCAACCGCGATTGATTCTCCGGAATAATTTTCTTTTTTCAAAATTTTGCACGGGAAAAATTTTGCTAAAAGTTTACATAATTGAAAAATTTTCCAATTGTTTGAATCAATGGCTGGTTGCGTTATCGTTTTATCGATATCGAGTGGATTCAGTGACAGTTAGAAAAAAGTTAAAAAGGAAAGAAGAAAATCTACTTCAACTGTGATGTAGAAAGGAAAGTAAAGTAAAACAAGTAAATGTACAAGGTGTCGTTAAAATTAGAGTGCGTAATATGGTGTGTGCGTGTGTCTGTGTCCCGTGTCGATGCACAGAAAGAAAAGAGTACAAGATTGAAAAAAAGTACAGAGATACAACTGCCGATCTATAAATGAAAATAAAATAATAATAATAATAATAATAATAATTATACCAACTGTATATAATACTTATACGCATTTATTTGTATGTACACCGATAGGCTATTGTGTCTCTGCCTGATTTGATGGGTATAAAGTATACAACGAACGTAAATGTTATTTATATACACGAAACGTAAATCATTCGCTGCAAAGTGCTTTCGATATTTTTTAAATTTTATCGAAGTTGGTTATGCATATATCGATGAAAATTTTAGGATCGTCACGATACACGAAATTTGAAAAAGAAATTGGAAGAATATTTAATAAAATTATCCGAGAAAAAGGAAAAAATTATGGTAATTTTATTTCAATTAAACCGAATTGACGATTAATAAACAAAATTAATAAGAAATAAGAAAATTTTATGATTATTAATAGAAAACTTTTGGCAATAATTTTTCTTTCTATCGAAGAAAATGGTTAAATCATCAACTTTGCAGTGAATGGTGGAAGAATGGTGGAACGAATATATATATATATATATTAAAATGAAACGTAAAAATGTACAAAGGAAAAATGAAACGAAAAGACCGTATTAAAGATGATAATAATAATAAGTAAGAGAAAAAGTATAAAGTACTACCGCCTGGGCTGCAGGACTTTGCCCAGCATTATCGTTATCGATAAGATCGTTATCGTTCTGTAAAACAAAGAGAAAAGACACAAAGAGATGATTTTGAGAGCTGCGTGAACATCCTCTTGTCTGGGTATATATATAATAAAGTTATATAATAAACGTAATAACAATATGTGATTAAATTTCAGTTTTAAATTACTCCTACGCTAATGTCACAATAATAATAATAATAATAATAATAATAATAATAACCATAATTATAATCATAATCATAACATTAATAATAATAATAATAATAATAATAGTAACGATAATAATTAATAAGAACAACATAATCTCTATTCATATAATCAATAATATTCGAAGGTTCAAACCTCGTTGTCGTACTCACTTTCTATGATTTTTTTTTTTTCAAAATAGAACACTTATATAAAATTCAACACACATATTCTTATCTAATAATCTAAATAATCGTAAACTCATTCAAAAAAAAACTTATATTTTTCCTAAATTTCTATGTGTGGTCTGTATTCATCGTCGATACGTCATACGCTGTGTAGAAGATTTTTTAGACTCGATCGAAATGATAAATTAAAAAAGAACATCGGTTCTTACAGTTCTTTTTTAAATTTTGCACGAATATAATTGGATAGCGATTGATGTATCGATTATGGACAATCTACTAATTAAATCATTTGCACAAAATTTGAATTCGTGACGTTCACAGGAAGGGTGACATCGAACTGCTTCTACACATATTGAATCGGCTAATTCAACAGACAGAAATTGAACGACGTCTTCCTTGTTCGTATAATATTTAACTAACAATAATTTAAGGCCGATTCGTTATCCCGGTGAGATGTTGGAAAAAATCATTGATTAAATTTAAAAGTAGAATTATTATATCCAGTATTCTTAAGGAATTTTTTTTTTTAACGCGATTTCATTTGTATTATTATTGGATTTAAAAAAGATATTGTTTAATTAAAAATATAAATATATACTTTACTTATTGATTTGCTAATTTTTCTCGTATAAAACTAATCTTGAGATTGTTTAAATTTGAATTTACAATCGAAAAGAAATTGAAAACTTTTCCACGCTTGATCTTGATCATTCGCCTTCCTCTCCTTCGTTATTTAATACATTAGAAAATATATTGCAATTAATTTTGACTCTGATTATACTTCACTATACATTCTCGTGAAATTTCCATCAATTTTCAATCAAAATTTAATTATCGATGACACACGGGGATAAAGAATGCAGCTTGAAAAAAATCTTGAATTTTTCTTTACTCGTTCAAATACATATTAATGTTTGAAAATTCTCGCCACTACTGAGCACACATTAATATAGCGTCAGAATATCGGGGACAAGAAAGCTTAGAATCACTTCCAAATATATATATTCATTAATGTATATATATATATATGTATATAATTTTTAACATTCTCTTTTCTCAATATTACAATAATTACGAAAAATAAATTCTCAAAATTATCGGGATACTAAGCTTTCGTGGGTGATCAAGAAGCTACATGGAATCATTGGAAATTCTCTATTCGAGACGTGATCTTTCACACCGTCCACGTGAAATCCTACCACGAAGAAGCCAATGACAAACATCCATTCGAACTCGATCCTCGTGGATGCATTCTCACGAGATTCGTCTCTTCGTTTGATATACATTAAATAATCATTAATCAATTTGTGAAACGAGTGAAACGAATCGAGTAAGAGTGCATGCAACACGGAGATTCCTTCGTTTGAATAGAAAAATATCAGTCTAGGGTTTTCCATTTTTTTTTGGTACTTTTCAACCGTGATTAACGAAAAACTCACCTGTCCGGCTGATTCTATCTGACCAAACCTAGTCGTCCTCCAACTTTCGAGTATCAGAAGGCAGACGTATATCTTACCAACGGTCATCTTACCTCTGCCTATTTCTGCAATAACACAATAATCGTTCGTCAGTATACATATATATTGAGCCTAATTGGAATTTCACAATCTTTACAACCTTCGTTCCTAGGTATCAAAAGGTCCAACATCTTTTTCGCCTGCAGAGGCCAAATACTTCTGATCGTGTCTCTCAGTTCCTCGTTCGCTTGGTTTCTCTCGGAGGCTGGAAATCATGGAGTGATATCGATAAATTGTGCCATTTCTCCCGGATCTATTAATACATTTCCATCTGGATAAACTGGATTACGATTATTTGATCAAAAACAAAGAAATGAGAGAAATCGCTAAAAGTTCATCGAGATCGTACAGAATGGAATTTCTCTTCATCGTCATTCTTAACGGAGAATTAAGAAACGCACGAAGCGTTCATCTCTCAACCCCTCTTTTATACGACTCACCTCTTCTCACTTTTATATTGAGATTCTCGCGGATCAGGGCGAACAAAGTGGTGGTGAAGTTCACCTTCAAGTCGACGTCCACCGGCATGTTCATCCTGATGAGTTTCTTGTAGGCGAGCCTGTTCGGACACTTGTTGCCAAACCCCAACGGCGGATCCATGTTCTTCAGCATGTCGTACATCTCCGTGTAGTGGATCTTGCCGGTCGCGTTCGGGTCGTACTCGGCCCATATGCGCACGAACTCGTCCAAGTGGTGGGCGCCAAGGATGGACGAGTCCCTCGTCAGGTAATCGAAATTGTCCATAATGACGGCGACGAACAGATTCAGCATCAGGAACGAGCAGAAGAAGATGAACGAGACGAAATAGGCGTACGCTATGTTCGAGCCGCAGCCACCCTCCTGTTTACCGGCTTTCGCGTCGCAGGGCCGACCCTTCACGCAGGACAGCATTATGTTCGGCCATGCCTCGCCAGTCGCGCACCTGATCATCATTTCCACCGTTTTATCGTTGCCGATTTTTTTACGAGAATCGAATATTTACGCTATATACATAAGCAGTCCATCTAGGATAGACTTTTGCAATATCGACGATTCTCGAACATCGTTGTGAATTATCGTTCACGTGGAATAATGCAACATGATTAAACATTTTATGATATGATAATTGAAAATAACAATTAAATGAGAAAGAGGAAAAGAGCGTCGAGGATCGTCGATTTTAGTTTTTCAAGATGCATGCAAATAACTCAACTCGAAGCAAGATATGTACGTTTAATGGGAAGATATTTTCACTTCGTTAAATATATATATATATCACTAACTACGAACGATTAACTGTTGATCCCAATGATAATTAAACAAAAGGAGGATACCTTTATAATTACACCTGAGAACACAACTCATGCATGGAAACTTTGTTTCTCAAGTGATTTTATTAAGTGCAACATCAAAAGCGAAAGTAATACTCGAATTTCAGTAACTCAATTCTCTACTCGAATAATCTACGTGTTTAGTTTTG